AATTGTTTAAAAAATTTTTATCATAAAAGGAAGGAGGCACTAAGAAAGGCACCAACAAGCTCATCTTATCAAAATTCTGTCTCTCCAGCCACATTCTCTATAGGTTGCCCTGTAAATAATTGTCTGACAAACATTTACATTTCCCTCTCCATGTGAATTGTCTTCTTCCCCTCTGAAATCCCAAACCGCTACCCCCACCAACACCTTCCATGCCTTTAGCTACAATACTTAAGCAAGCAGCTTAGACAGAATGATGAGTTGCTCAGCCCTCTGAGTTTCTCCCATGTACACATGTTATTAAACTTGGTATTATTTTCTCCTGCTAACCTGTCTTTTAATTATTTGGCCAGACATAAGAACCTTAAGGGAAAGGGCAGAGAGGGGACTCTCCCTCTTCCCCGACAATAAATTGCATGAAATCAGTTGGTGAAGAGTCAGACTTCTCATAGTTTTCACTATAGTAAAATAGCCAGGTAGCGGGTTGGGGTGTGGCAGCTTCTTCTCTAAACCCATTCTCCAAAAAGACTCCATTTTCAAAAAATCTTAAGGGAGTAAGTTGGCACGATGGTTGTTAAAATTATTACAGAAGGACTATGATGTGAATCCTGACGCTACCCTGGGAAAATATAGGGGAATTAAGCAAGGGGGGTGGGGAGATCCTGGGGTGTGCTCATGTGAAATAAAGAACCAGTGAAAACGACATGTTAAGAACTAAGACGTGGAACTTGCCAGCTTCTGGTTGGCAGCCACTCCCCCTATTTATTCTTTCACAAGGATTGTTTAGGAAGTGGCAAAAATCGTCTTTCAGAAAATTCTCTACATGCAATGTAGTATCTTGGATTGGATCCTGGGACCGAAAAAGGACATTAGTGGAAAAATTGGTGAAATCTAAATAAAGTCTCTAGTTTAGTTAATAGTATTATCAAGGTTAATGTCTTAATTTTGACAAATATATCATGGCTACATGAGTTGTAAACATTAGGGGAAACAGGGTGGAGGGTACTATCTTTGCAACATTTTTGTAAATCTAAAATCATGCCAAATAAAAAATGTATTAAAAATAAATCCCAATGCTGAACTGTTATTTCCACAACATACTGGTTAAGCAAGGGTCAGTCTGTGAGTCAATCATCAGTGGTCAGACTGGAAGACTCAGGGGAAGGTGGCCAAAGGAAGTTGTCTTTTTAAAGTTCCCATCCTTCCCCGAACACACACACTCCTACCACATTCAAGCCTCACTCTCAAGCCTGGCCCAGCCCCTGGACTCTCTGCCTTGCACAGCTGCTCCTGTGGTCCTGCATTGTTATTTATTGACGTACTAAGGCTTGTCTTTGCTAGCCTTTTCTCTGACCTCAGATCTTTGCATAGCACAAAAATACCTCCCACTCTGAGTAGCATGCTGCCCTCCTACCCACCTTTCTATATTATATTACATCATCTTGTTTTAATGTCTTCCCAGCATTTAGCTCAATATGAAATTACATTATCCACTCAGTTGTTTACCAGATTGATATCTGTTCCCCCCTCTCTAGGCAGTAAGCTCCCTGGAAACAAGCACCTTGCCTGTCTTGTTCACTGCTGATCCAGGGCTTAAAACAGTACCTAGCACAGAATAGATTTTTTTTAAGTAATGAATGAATACATTTCTTGAGAGAAAGGTTTCTGTTATGTACTTCTGTACCCTCTCCACCTCCTAGACCCACTGCAATAACAATGGCTCAGAGAATTGTGGCGATGCTCCCTAAAAGGATATCTCATTCTCACATCCACCAGTTCACTGAAGAAGACATTTCTTAAGCACCTGCCTGCTTAGTATAATGCAGAAATACAAAGAACCAGAGTCTGGTCCAGGAAAATCAAGCCACATGAAGGAAGCAACACCACACTCATTTATAGTAACATAGCACTATTTAAGTTCCTACATACTATGGAGTGGTTAACCTTACAGAAACTAGCATTTGAAAGTTCCCAGAAAATCACTTCAAGAATCCTAATGCAGTGATTGGAGAGAGTGAGTCAGTTATTTCTTTCTCAAATTCTAAGGGGTTTGTGAAATACACGGATTTCTTTTCCCAGTGAAGTAAGGCTTTTTTTATTTGAATAAAAAGAAACTACTTACAAACTTGCTTTTTATTTTACAGACACTTGTCTAAAGTTTAAGGATCTCAAATGAATCAAAATAATGGTGTGGGTAAGGTATGGTCCATATTGAATGTAAATATTGCTAGCAGGCAGGTAGAGGGCAGCATCTCCATTCCCTCCCTGCTCTGCCTGCCGCTAGCTCAGCACCTGTGCACAGTGGGTATGGAATGAAAGATCCATCCCCAACCTCACTCCCAGAGTATAGTGTTGACCTGTCATGTGCTTCCCTTATAGTTTACCATAATTGTCTAATTTTCTATCTTCTCCTTGTAAGCTCCGTAAACTTCACGAAGGTGAGCCGTGTCAATCTTATCCGCCATTCTATACCCAGCATTTGGCACACACCTATCACATACTCCTAGCATAACGATGCTCAAAAAATAATCACTAAATGAGTGAGTAATTGGTGAATGAATATATTCTGGGGAAGGAGATATCTGGAACAGGGAGACTCAGCAAGAAGTTTTAGATATATACTGAATAGATACTAAGATGGGCTCTAGCAGTGAGGGACAAAAGGATTATCAGAGGCACATGATTAATTGCCACCTCTCCAGACCTCACAGATATTTTCTGAAATCCAACGCAACGATACTCATTTGTTTACCAGACCTGGTCTTGGAAACTCACTTTCTTAAAGTAACTCCCACCCTCAATTTTGAGTTGTTCCAAGGTTATCTCTCCTTTCTCTCCTAAAAATCTAGAAAAATTGGCATGTAGCCTTACATACGACTCTTGAAAGGTTATCAACCCCTAAAATTAATCATTTCCATGCATCATAGGAGACCAGCTTCCCTAATCTAAACATCTTGAAAACACCCAAGCTGTGAGTTCTGTGGTCTTATGGAAATGACACTGCCAAACCTCACTATTAGCTGGAAAAGGTCACACCCTAGAGAAAAGGGAGTACTCTTCCATTACCACTACCAAAGCATTATCAGACCCACTAATTTAATCTACAACAGAATAAAATAATAATTCTGAGCACTTTCTATATGGAAGACATGCTAGTTGTAGCACCCAAGACTAATAGAGGTGAATCTCAAAGTCACAGACCTGACATTCAAGTGTGCAGTCATGAAAATGTATATGTATACTTATTGAGATAGAGATAGAAAGAGGGATGCATGTGTCTTCTGTGCTCTTTTATGTGATGGCCAGTCAGGGGTGGCCACAAGAGGAGACACAGGAGAGGCTCGGGATAACAAAAGTTATTATATTCACAGATTCTAGAAACAGGAGGCATAGCATGCCATGCAGAGCCATGTGGAAAAGCACCAGCATCTGTTAGGAGGCAGAAGGAAAAGGACCAAGGGGAGAGCCTGGGCCACAGGCTCCATGGGAGTTTCCTCAGGAAAGGAGACGTAGAGCAGGGTAAACAGTTTATGATTGGCTAATTTAAATAATTTAGGCAGGCTCTAAACTATTGGAGTGGCCCCTAGTTGCCTATTACCTGGCCCTCAGATAATTAAAGCAAAGGAATATTGCCTCCTGAGGTGTACAGGCTAGATAGAGGAAATATGGCTCAGGATTGGTTAGTTTGCTTATCAAAGGCATGCTCCAGGCTGAGTTTTTTGTCGTCTTAAGAATCAGCTAGTCGCCAAAGGGACAGTCTCTCCTCAGCCAGAAAAGGTTTTTTAAGACGTCAAAATATCATAATATACAAAAAATAAAAATATGAACAATACAACTTGTATATATAAGTTGATACATGTATTTAAACTGAGAAAGATGTGTCTATGTACATATGTGTATCTCTGTGTGTGTGTTTAAATTTCTGACTCATCCTTTAGCCTGCCTAGTCATGGACAATCTGAGCACATCATGATTTGTTTGTCTTGGTTTTCCAGTCCTATTGAATGTGATTTCTCAGTCGGTTCATTCGTATTCTGTTTAAACTCCCTCCCAGGTTTTCTCCTTCTCCCTTCCTCCCTGTGATGTGTCTAGTCCCCATGGGCTCATGCCCTGCCACTCCAAGTTTACAAATTAATCTAGTTTTCATTGGCCTTCCACTTGTTGTTCCTACCCAATTGATTATTGCCAGAAGGAATTTGAGCCAATTTATTGCCAAGGGGAATTGGGGCAAATTTTTAAAGAAAAATATCATTTTCTATATGAACTATCCCCATTTTTTAACATTAGTGCACTCTTCTTACCCCTCGCCCCCCCCAAAAAAAAGATGCCTACTAGCTACCTAAATAGTAATTTCTGTCTTGCATTCCTTGAGGGTCCATGAGTGATTTTTGGAGATTTATAAACCTCTGTTCTTCAAACTGCAGCCAACTCATTAACATTGCAGTAAAATCAATTTAAATGCATAGTAACCCAAATTTTTAATGGACCAAGAACAGAATAATTTAGGATGAAATGGCACGAAAAATATCAGAGTGAAATACAAAAGTACGGGTGTTGCTTTGAGAAATGCTGTATTAAGGTGTGCATGTATACCAAGTGACATGGAAAGTATATTTCTCATTAAAAAGAGTGGTCAAACAAGTCTGGACACACATATAAATGAAATTTAAGTTTTATTCAATTTTCCAAATCGTCCAGCATCCAAAGACGTCAGGAACATAAAAACGGAGACTCCCTAAAGCCCTCCGCTCCCCCTTGTTTCTTCAGCCTCCTCCGAGGCTAGACCAAAACTACTAGGACTCCCAGTCGCCCTATCACGCTGCCAGCTCTGCCACATGAACTCGGCTCGGGGTGGGGCCTCCATTCCCGCAGGGTGCGCTGCACAGCATCCGGTCGCCAAGGGAAGCACGGCGCACGCGCCCGGAAGTATTTCCGTCCGGACGCAATTTCTGATCCTCAGGCCGCGAGCTCTTCCTGTGACGTACTTCCGGTTGGCCGAGCTGCGCACGTGCGTCCCGAGAGGACGTTACGTCACCCGGGAGAGCTGAGAAGCCGGGCTGTGGCGCCGTGGTGAAGGAGCCTTACAGACAGTATGTCTCATCTACCGATGAAACTCCTGCGCAAGAAGATCGAGAAGCGGAACCTCAAGCTGCGGCAGCGAAACCTAAAGCTCCAGGGTGAGAGGCGCTGGGCTCGTGGCGTGCTCAGGGGCGAGGGAGCCCACGCGTGGGCCGTGGCGCGCGACGGCGACTGCGGGGCCGGGCGGCGCGGTCCCAGAGTCCCCGGGGCTCCAGGGCGGCGCGTGCAGCTGCCCCGAGAGCGCGTGTGCTTGTTGAGAGTCACCGGGAGGCCCGGGGCAGCCTCGAGTCGGGTCCTAGATCTGCCCCGACTTTTCTGAGCATCAGTTTGTCCTCCTTACAGAGTTGGAGCAGGAGTCCTCTTACTTCCCTTCCAGGCCTCCAGCAGTGCTTTCAGCTAAACCGGGCTTTTCCCCTTCCACCCTCCCCGTTCCGACTCCCTCCCAACCTGCAGGTCCCACCACATCCCCGCCCCTCACCCGTTTTCAGTCAGACACGTGGAACTTTCTCTTCTCTGTGCACCTTCTATTCATATCATCTGTTCAGTGTCTACGTTTTTTGAAAACCAGCTCAGTGTCACTCTTTTCACAGAGCTTTCCTGATACCGTTGCCTTCCCCTACCCACCTCCACTATTCTCTGTCTCCGCTCTGTACCGCTTCTTCATTTTCAGCTCTAAAGGTGTCTTCTGCACACACCCACCGCAAAGCCTCTCTCGTGCCCTGTCTTCCCATCACTCCCAACTTTAGGTTATAAATTCGTTAAAAGTGTTTACATATTGGCATCCTTCGCAAAGACTTACAAAAAGGATTTTACCTGAATATCACCTTTCTTGCCTAACTGATTTGCAAGTCCTTATTTTCTGACAGTGATTCAGAGATCGTGACGTTGTTGCCGTTAACCTTTTTGGGTCCTCTATAAGATATAGATCTCCGAGGGGAATGTTGAAGGTATAATGCCTTACCCCAGTTGGTTTTCGGCAGAGATTAGTTGAAAGAAATCCTGGAGGAGAGGACAGGTTTGTGGGTTTTAGGAATAATGTTTTTGAAGTTCCCTTACATTTCTGTTTCTTATAGAATAATACGGTGTTACTAGTTGTTGGTAAAAATAATTAAAGTAAAAGATGGTGTTTTCTTTTTCTATATTAAACTGGGCAGCTTTTGTAAAGACATTCTTAGGCATTTATATATGATAAGTATTTGACAAATAAGTAGTTTCATCAATAGAATTTTCAATTCACTAGAGTCTAGGAAAGTTGTGGTTGAACGTTTTGAATTTATATGAGAAGAAGTAGTTGTGTGAATAAGATATGTGTTTTTTAATATATCAGTTAATCATATATTCATCAAATACCTAACGTTAACATGTATGTTTTCTAACTACCATTGTCTAGTCCCATCTGTTTAAATATTTAACCTCATTGAAGTTTTCCTGTCCCAGACTCTTAAGGACAGAGATGTGGTTTTTTGAAGTTAAAAAATCAATGCAAATTTTCCTTTTCCATCATTTTTCCTTAAAGAAAATTTACTTGTCCTCTAGTAGAATACCATAAAATTGCAAGTGGTTTTAATAATGTACGTGAAAGAGAAGTAAAAGCTAAATCGTTTTAGTCCTGAAAGCCTTGGAATTTCTCATTTGACATTTCAGTGTTTCTAAGTAAACCTCTTCTTTGTCACAAAGTGTGTTCTGTTTTTAAACAGGGGCCTCCGACGTCAGGCTCTCAGAAACTCAAAATGGAGATGTGTCTGAAGAAACACTGGGAGGTGGAAAAGTTAAAAAATCCCTAAAACAGTCTAATAATGTGGGCCTGCCAGAAGCCCAAAATGGAGATATATCTAAAGAAACAGTGGGAGGTGGAAAAAAAAAATCACTAA